AAACTTGTTTTAAATTTTGTTAGTCTAGATTCATTGTTTAATGTGTTATCACAAATAACTAATTTGCATCAATCTGACCTTGAAGGTTAAATACTTATCTGAAGGGTTTTAATTAATCGAAGTTTCTTATCAGAGAAAAAATACGTCTGCATTTAATTGGCTACATGCACTTTGAATTTCAACTGATGCACTCACAAAATACGCTACTTGTAAGATTCTTTATGTAACAATTTTATGTGACAAGTATTCAATGTAATGTTTAAATTTTTCCAATCCATAATTTTATGAAAATAATAATTTGAACTTTGACAAGATGTATTATAATTTATACTGTCTGCCATGGTAAATTAGAGGAATAGTGACTAGAATAATTATCTTGGCACTATGGGCAAAAAATTTATATATTTTACAACGGACCATGATATAATAAAGCTTAATCATATAATTCAATATTTTCACTTTTAACTTGATCTAATGACTGTAACATCTGAAATATGTTTTTTTTTTCCTAATTATAAATAAATAATGACAATGTATGTAAAGGATATAAAACCAATTACAGTCCATTCTGTTTAATATTTTACAGAATAAACTGTTAGAGTCTTTTATCTTACTTAAAGAAATAAAGTACAGTTGAAGGTAAACTACATGTATAGCTACGTGTACATGAAGACACAGTGCATGCGTATCATGCTTTTTTTCGCGCGCTAGGACTACACAATATATTTTCCGTGAATTCCTGCACATGCAGTTGGTGTCTAAAAGTGGATAAAGACGATGAATAACTTTGACCGGACATTCCACCGACGTCATTATGAATGAAACGTCGTTGATAAGTTTGACCCGAACTTATTAAGTCATCTTCCGGTTTGATGGTGAAACAAAGAAAAACACTTGTATCTATCATGCAAAATACACAAATACAATCCGATAAATAGATTATCAGGATTCATCACATTTATATTGTAAAATACCAGCCGCTCCACACAATATGAAGAATTTTTGAACTCGTTCGCTTCATATTATGACTCGCAGCTGATAGATTACAATTATATAAATATGCAGACAACCTGATAATCGGTATATATCTTTCACACGGATCTCGATTAAGCTATACCGTACCTTTACACAATTTCCAACACTGTTTTTAGTTATGAAGCACAGGATAGGGGCTTCCATGTACACTATGTTTAAATGTCAAAGTATAAAATATAACAGTGGAAAATAAAAGAATTAAGTAATAAAACACTGATTACAGAAATTAACGATGTACAGAATAACAAAAATCATCTAATTACAGATTAAAAGTGAAGTCATTTGCATGAAAATTTACAGAATAAGCGTTATTTTTAAAGATAAAGAAAAATATCCTTAAAATTTAAAGAATACAGAGATAGAATACGCCCCATGCAGACCCTCATATAGATTGATATTCAATTTAGCTGCAACATGACATTAATCTATTACTTGAAATTTACGTATTACGAAAGAGTTACCTTGATTGATTGATTGATGGTTGCTTACCTTCCAGTGGTTCTTACTTTGAACATGCAAAAAGAATATTGCAGTGTCTATCATAATAGAGGGTCTGCATGGGGTTTACAGAAAGAATAGAACAAAATAGTAAAACCCCAAAAAATACAGAGAAAAATAGGAAGAGAAAACAAATAAGGAATAGAAAATAATGGGCAAAATTAATAAGGAACAGAGAAAATGGTAAAAAAAAAATTAAAGAATAATGAAAACGACAGATCTCCCTATCCAGACTCTGATAATAGCTTATCCTTCCTTTTCAGTCAGTAATGAATGTAAGCATGTCTTTAAAGCACATTAAACGAAGGACTGTGGTGATAGCAAGTATTCAAGATACCATACGTGCAACACACAAACACAAATGGAAGAAAAACAGACTCACAGGTTAGGTTAGGGTTGGGGCCTTCAGACATGTTTAACCCCGCTACATTCTGTAAGTGCCTGTCTCTAGTCAGTAGCCTGTAGTTTAGTGATTATCATTGGTTCATTTCTGTCATATTTGGTTTTCGTAAATTGTTATAAATTAGGCTGTTAGTTTTATTAATTGAATTATTTCATATTTTTCATGTCGGGGCTTTTTAAAGCCGACTATACAATATGGGTTTTTCTCAATGTCGAAGGCCTATTATTGCTTACGTCCACCTCATTTCAACTTTGGTGGATAGTTGTCGCATTGGCAATCATACCACATCTCCTGACGTTCACTTAAACCCAATTTTTTGACAGAATAGCAACGATCTCGAAAATTGAGTTTTAATCTATGATTCGGCTTCGAGCACCACTAATGAGAAATGATTTTTCTAAATATGTGTATGATACTCCAAACTCTATTCAGTATCATGTAATTTTGCGATATGTTCCCTCGCTAAGGTGTCCCTAAGACTAGTTGTAAAATCTATTTACCTACTTTTGCTTTTACATGCATTCGTCCTGAATGTGCAAGAAGACAATTATACATCAAAATTCATTGTATTCGTTTGGATGTCTGGGCATCATTGTCGAAAAATGAATTTTCTAAATAGGTACGTGAAAAGTTTTAGATCTTTAAAGGAGCAAATACAATGTATTTACATATAAGTTTTAGTTAAAGTTAAGAAAAGTTAAGTGCACATGTAAATACAGGGAGCAATTAATGAATAAAAATGAAATTACTTTCGATGTTTGAATAACTGTTATAGTATATAGATTACAGTGTTTCAACCTAATCAAAATACATAGATCCCTGACTCCGCTATACTCATTAGACGATTAAGCGATTTAAATATTTTGACAATAGATTTCCCACTGGTTCTCTGTTCTTATTCATGCTGTTACAATACAATACAATATGACAGATTAGAATTAGTATCAGATTTCACAGTTTTTATTTTAAATCTTTCATTTCTTTAAGATGGTGACTCAAATGTGTGCATTCTGAGGCTAAAGCTTAAACAAATAATTAAAAACAATGCCGCGCATTTAGTAATATGTAATCTTTGTTATATATCAACATGAAGTGTTAAGGTGTCCAAGCAAAACAGGTTTCATTTTTGGCACAAAAGATGACAAACCAAATAATCTTTTAATGCAGTTGCTCTATTTAGGATTACGGGAAGAGATAATATTTTTTTCGTTATCAATCGATTCCTTTGGAATTTTTTTCCTGCACTTCTCTGATCTAACTGCATATATATACGGATAATTGGCTAGTTTCATGAACAATAAATAGAAGATAGTACTCCAGGAATTTATTCGCATAGCAACATTTTAAACCAATTTAAACCAAGGTCCTATAGCTTTCTGTACTCGTCGTTTACTCTTTAAGGAGGGAAATGATAACATTAAATATAAATTTTGTTATTATTTTGTAACATATTTATTTTCACTATTTACCAAAACTTTTTTCTCGTAAATTCATAATTGATAGCGTCCTTGCTAAAACGGGACAAACATTGAAAAGATCATTATTCTTTAGTGTTTACAGGGGGAGGTAGTATTTTGACAACAGATTTCCCACTGTTCTCTGTTCTTATTCATGCTGTTACGATACAATAAAATTATCAATACTGTAACAATACTCTACTTTTATCTCCAAAATCCAATAAAATCTAAGATACAGACAACAACATGCAAAAAGAATACAAATAATACATAAACTTATACGATTTTCTAAAGCGTCGATGGGAAAATATTTACGAGTTTATATTAACAATAATTTAAATCGTGGGAAACATGAGATTATTTTTTTTTTGATCAAAAGGAGGGCGTACGCTTTTCTAGTTTTCAGATTTGCACAAAACTAAAATTTCTGCATTTGTGGAGAAGAATATTACTCCTGCTCCCCCCCCCCCCCCCCCCACCCCACCCCTCCTTCCGAAAAAAAACCAAAACAAATAGTCTTCCCCTTACAAACAAGGAACAAAACTTAATCACGTTTATCATTCCCCGTAACTTTATTATGTACTACTCTTTTTGGAATTACGTTTAAGGGGGCCTCAGTGGCCAAGTGGACTAAGTAGTCATATAACTAGCCAGTCAACACTGATGTTGTGAGTTTGATTCCCGTACTTGGCAGGTCAAATCGACTCCAATCTGAATTGACTAGGATTGTCAGTTTCCTACACCAATCAATCAATTATTAAGTTTAAAGGCAAAATTATTGACTCTATAATAATCTATGACAAGCTTACATTCTCATGTTAAGCTAACTAGCTTTTGAAGGTTATCAACTTCCGATAATGATGAAAGGGGAGGGGTGTCACGGGCTGCTAATTTCCTTAATCCCGTTTTTTATGTTTTCTCTTCATTTCAAAAGTTTATTTAAGCATGACTGGAAAAAAGTTTACTTTTTTATGCTATGTAAAAGAAGACTTTTCTTGTACCAAGCAACATTAGCCATTCTTTAACTGAGTATACGAGTTGTTTCCGACCTTGATTTATTTATGTTTTTAACGAGATTTAAATATCGGTAAATTACCGTCGCATTACTTTTCCATCTATAGTTAAGACATTTAACATTATATATTATACCTCAGTATGTATTTTCTACTTGTAACATTATAGACGACTATTTTTACGAAATTGTCCGAAAAAAATATTGACGCAGAATATTACGTCGTCCGCTTCAAATTCAAAAATAATGGTTTACCCAAAATATTTCATTTTGAACTGTTGTAAGAGTTGCAGTATAAAGAGAATAACCATACATTGTCTTGAATTATATACCAGTTTTTAAGGACAATAGCAAGTTTATTTCCCCCTCGACATCAACTATTTCCCTCCACATCGCGTCGGGGTAAAGTTAGTGTCTCGGTGAGACAATAAACTTTCTTTGTTCTCATAGCCAATACATAAGAGTGTAAATTAATTCAACAAGTTAAAAGACAATTATCTTTTTAGTTAATTATATTGTTTATATTTAAACCATAGCTACTAAATTTAGAACAAGTATACAGGTAAATACACGTTTAAACTTGAAGATCAATTTTTCCACTTTAGAAAATTAAACATGTTATGTTCAATATAAGTGTGATTATGGCAAGTTCTAAACGGTATGTATTCTAATGATAGATATGCTTTATGTTTCAAGGTTTAGAACAGACATGAGAAGGTCCGGTTGGACAGTCCTTTATCTATTCGTTTAATTTTTATGACATTTTTCGTTATCTTTAAAAATAACGCTTATTCTGTAAAATTCTCATGAAAACCATTTTACTACAAGCATTTTAATTTTCTGTAATTAGATGATTTCTTATTCTGTACATGGTTCAATTCAGTAATTACTATTTTATTACCTAATTCTTTTATTTTCCACAGTTATTCTTTTTATTTTTGCACCTCGTTATTCTTTATTCTTTATATTTTTTTCTCTTTTTTCTCTATTACTTTTTTGGGCCATTATTCTCTATTCTGTAAACCCAATTCAGACCTCATAGTAGTCCAGATCACTTTGCGGTACTACTGGTAAAAGGGAAAATAACTGAGTTAATTCAGCGTTTCCGCTACCCAGTTTCTTGAAATATCTGATTATCTTTCGATTTTTTTTTGTTTACACTTAAGAGCACGAAAGGTTAAAAACTACAATGTTGTCACTTTTATGGTTATTAGTAAGTTACAGTACAGTTTCGGATCCAAGAATAAAAAAAAGTGGTCGGGTCCCTTATCTGACGCGCTTTTCTCGATTTAACTTTAATAGGAAAAGATGAAAGCCAAAGATTTGTGACAAGATCTTAAAATGAAGCCATTTCGGCAGTTTTGCGTTTTTGCACTTAATTTCTGAATCCATTATGCAAATATGCAAGACAAAATTCAAAATTGTAAATTCTGATAGCTGCGAGAATAATGTCTTATGTACAACTGAAGGACGTTATTTACCAATAACATTTGGGAGCCCAGTTTCGCTGTTGCGTTTACTCGTGTTTGCTTTAATTTTTGTAAATTGTTTCAACTTCACCAGAGGACAAAACGATGACTTAGAAATTGGTACTTGCCTCATCCCGGTTATGCACGAGGGGAATACACAAAATGTGGTCGATTACTGGCCCGGATCCTGGTATACGTTTTTTCCTTCGTGAATTATCAGCTTTTCATTTTTTAATAAGGTTTGGATTTTCATCCTTGATACCGTTTTATTTGAATTTGTGATTTCAAATTCAAATTATATTTACTGGAGGTCTAAATAGACTTAACTGGTCCATATCAGAGAGTGTCGCATGTTTAAATTTTGATATTCATCAAGCTTTATTAGTCTCTATGCATCTTTATAAATCTGTTCCGATCGTCCTACGTAGTTGAGAAATATATAAGAATGATCAAATGGAACCAAAACCGAAAGCCGAAAAGAATTACAATTCAATTTCTAAAACAGTAAAAGCAAATATATAGAAAACCTGTTAATAAGGCTTTTTTTATTAAACAAGATCGGGAAAAAAACGAAGTGGAAGATACTAAAGTGACAATCAGAATGCATAAGCCGTCGAGAGACAAAAAAAAAAACAAAAAAAACGGCAACACATGAAAAAGAACGAAAAGACATACAAAAGTCAATAAAACACTACATAGATAACTTAAGACTGAGCAATACGAAACTTACTAAAACCGGGATTATATCAGGTGCACCGGAAGGGTAAGCAGAATATAGTAGTTATTTGTAGAAAAACACTGAATATGCAGATGATGCTGAAATTGGTACGGCATATTGAAAAAAAAAAAAAAAAACTACGGGAGATTGTAGTCGTCAATTTTGTGGTAAAAGTAATTTCAACTGAAAATTTATGTGTGTGGCATTCAAGATATGAAAGAGACCTGTTTGTATCTGTGGCATCTTTTATTTCCGATTCAATATGAAGGACAAGCTCAACATATTTTTAAAAAGTTTGAACTAAGGTTGATCATAAATATAAAAATCACAGATGTATCATTCCTTCTTTTATATTGTAATAATATACATGATATCGATTGAACATTTTTATTTTATTGATAATTAACTTATTTACTAATTTGGTCTATTGAAATATACACACAAATTCAAATGTTTGAGTTGATTTTTAAATAGTAATTCTATACGTTACTCATGTAAATTGGTTTCAAACAATTTATAGAATATTTAAAAGTTTAATTGGTAGCCACAGTGTTGTTCGTTCATGATCAAAATTTAAAGCTAAGTGTCATTATGAATCACACATTCAGATTAAAATTTGATAAAACCACTTTAATTAATTAACATTATTTGTACTGAAAAATATAATAACAAAACCTGTAGATATATAAAGATATTTTGTCTCTCAATTTAAATGTCTCACAAATAAATATTCCTCCGACTGTCCTCAGTCTCTAACGACTTCCTTAATTCAGCTAGTATGACCTTTGTCCTTTTCTATGCCTTCATTTTGTTTTGTCATGGAGAAAACTGCAGTTTTTATTTATAGTTTGTTCTTACTTGTGCTGTTACACGACTGATACATGTTAGGAGGCAGGTTGAGCGCTCACACACATGTTAACCTCGCCACTTCCTTATATGCCTGTCTTAAGTCAAGCGCCTGTAACTCAGTGGTTTTTGTTGGTTCATTTCTATCATATTCGTTTTTCGTAAATCATATTGTTATTTAATTTAGTTTTCTCGTTTGAATTGGTAATCATTTTCATGTCGGGGTCTTTTATAGCTTACTACGTTATGGGTTTTTATAACTTTTGAAGGCCATATGATGACTTATAATTGCTTATATTATATCTTCGTCATTTGAACTCTGGCAGATAGGTGTCTCATATCCAATCACCACTCTTCTCTTTATTTTTATATTTACTAAATTCTAACAAAAATGTATAAAAACATATTGTGAAAGTATAGTTTCATTTGCCCTTAACTTATTTTTGGTATTTTACAGCATGGTTTTTATCGATCAAACATTTTCCATAAGTATGACAACTGTCCTTCATACTTTTCTGATGAATATAAGAAAGTGTAGTTGAGTCACGAATTGGGGTTACCAAATCAAGCTATTCAATAAATCAACCAAAATTCATCTAATGTGAAATCATTAAATATTTTCCCCCAGGGTTTTCTTCTTTTCAAAAGATGTTTTTTTTTTCTCTGAAAACTGATGAGCGTTTCAGATGATTTAATTTTTCATCTGTCAGTCTTATTTTATTCTTCAAAGTTGAAAAATGTTTTGGGCAGTATTTGATGACAGCTCACTTGGACGTGTGGTTGTTTTGTCAAACTGTTTTTTTTACTGTACTGGATTGTATATGATTGTTATTTTCTAATGGTTGTGAAATTAAAGATATTAAGAGGAAACTAATTTAAAGTATATACAATCCGTACGGTCCGAGTGAACCTATGGTTCACGAGGCAAAGGTCCACGAGGAATACATGTTTTGTACATAAAGAAGGTTTTTCTAAAATTTATTTACTTTTGTAAGCAAAGTGTTATTTATCATGTTTATCTCATACTGTCAGAATCATTTAGTGACAAAACATGACGTATAATATACAACTTGTATTAACTTGTATTAACTTGTATTAACTGCAAGTATTTTTGCGTGAACTCCCTGAGGAGTTCACGCCTATATAGTGGTGAGTTTTGGTAACTTCTATGGGCCATTCGGATATCGTCGGAAACAAGATTGTCGGAACCTCTAGAAAATTTTCGATCATTAAAACGGGTAGTTATCTGTGTTTTTGATACGGTCCCTCTATGAATAGGTCACATTGTATATTTCAACAATCAAAGTTCATTTGAAGACGGGAGAGTAAAAAAAAAAGACTAGATTGCAGTAAAAAAATCATTTATATATTTGAACTTATTTGCCTTTTGACAAAACATATGTGTTTTGAATAATGCGAATGTTTATTAGATATCAAGTATAATGATAACGCAATCATGTAATTTATGTTTTGAGACGGTTCCTGTACGCGTTGTGTGTCTAGTATTTCGTACATCGTGGTATTGTGCATTGTGACAATAAATCTGGAAATAGTTTATTAATATATAATGTCCCAGAATAAACTGATTATGTCTGACGTTTACCACGTGATATTTTGTATATCAATCATAGCCTGGGAAAATGTCTGAAAGCATGAAAAAATACTCGTATGGTTTCAAATCATAAGGATTTTAAATCCTTGAATCTCACAAAAAACGTAATTAATATTTTTACAAATCATAAAAATATTAATTACTACGTTAATTATTTTATTCTGATTTAGTATGGTTTTGTAAGTTTCTGCTTATATTTTGTATAGCAATTTATTATATACTTATCAGAGCTCTTGGGATTATATTGGTGTCTCGGGTTGATACAGGTGTGATATTGAAAAATCCATATAATATTCTCTATATATTCATATAATGGAAAGTTAAACTGTCAAAAAGAGATTGATTTGATAAATAAAATGTCCATCAGTAAATATTTGACGTTTGTGTTTATTGATTTTATATTTTAAATATTCGGAAAGATTCATTAACAGGAATGTATGTTAATTTAAATTCTTTTTTTTGTTTTTTATTTTTCAACTTTATAGCATCTAAATCTTTACAATATGCTACAATTTTGAAATGTGTATTCATTGTATTGACCAGCTATTCTACACACGTCTTGGTTCATTAACATTGTATATCACCCTGTTCACACGACACACCATCAGTTTGCGTTCACACAAATTCCGGATTAAATGGCAATGAATCCGGAGTCAAAACACTTGAGGTAGGTAGTTTGATATTCGAATTCAACTATTCAACATTAGATTTAAGTCTAGAAAAATATATGTGATGAAGCAAATGCGTATTCTTATCCAGAGTATCAGTGCGTATGCCTTCCATTTACTATTTCTTGCGCAAGAAAAACCACGTACATGCATAAATATTAATTTTTCACTCGCGAATGTGAATTTTCGCATTTGTTTTCTAAATCCAGGACATGGCAGTAAGAGCTTGACGTGTGACTTTCAAGCATGGTCATCATGACTTAAGGTATTCCGACCTCTAGCTATTTCTCTTTTTTTTTTTTTTAAGTGACTGTCCTATTATAAACTTTGAAATTTTCGAAATAC